CCCCTGCCAATCTTCATTCCATCAAACTCTCCATAACCATAACCACCCAGGATATATATCATTCGAATCATAATTTTATTATCTTTGTATACTATTATATCATTGTGTTATATATTGTATTATTATTATTATTATTATTACTTATTGTATTGTAAAGTATTTGACTTGTCCTATATCATGTACAATGATCCATGGATATGATATGAAATAAATAAATAAATAAATAAGTTTATATATATTTCTCAGTAAAATTCCATACCTTTTGGTTTATTCTAACAGAATCTGCCATTGACTTTCATTTCCATTCAGACTACGTGATCTCATATGCATGCCTAAGTCATGCACAATCAATATACACTGTCTTGGCCATTGTCTGGTGTTTAGAAATGAAACACAATCATAATAGTTGGCTGAAAAAACTGTCTAGCAAAAACACACTCTCACAGCTTAGCTTATAGCAATGGTGCTAATGCCTCACATATAAACAGTTACTTCTGTAACTGAACTACAGAATTGTGTATAATGTTAAACTAAAATTAAGTAGTGAATAAACAAGTGTTGCAATACTGACGGATGATAAAGACATGCATGTTAAATTATACGCAAGGTTTACTAATGTTCAACAAGTATTTTAGTATATTTAAACATTGTAATCTTACATAAAAACTTTGTACATGAAAAGACTGAATGGATCCATTGTGTAATGCAAGTTAATACAAATGCCTGATGACTGTTGTAAAGGACTGAAACATGTTGTATTGAAACATTTTAATAAGCCAAACTGACCTACTGACAATTTGATTCCAGCATTTATTGGAAGTATGAAGTTGTTGTGAAGAGACATATTTACATATTATGCTGCTACAAGTTGGTTACAATGTATTCAAATGTGTAAGCCAAAACCAGCTTTGATAGTTTCCTTATAAAAACAAGCCTACATACATAGCGTCACAGATCCATTGCCTGCAATGGGTTGGATATTGAGCTCATCAGAATAGTTAAAAGTAGTTGCAATATGCAACCAAGTCCAAGTAGACACAACCTATATACAACAGGAATATAATACAATTAGGTATTTGCCATATATTCATCAATAGAATAGAAAGCTTTCAAGATAAGAAAGTCTTTCAGTCTATGTTTAAATAAATTAACATTATCCTTTAAAATATATAATTTATGTGGCAAATTATTAAAAATTTGTATGGATGTATAATACACTCCCTTTTGTATAATGGATAGTCTACATGACGTGACGTGTAGTCCATTTTGTACTCTAGTGTTAATTTTATGTACACTACTATGTGTAGGATAATTATTTTCGTTTTCAATTACAAACATGACCATAGCATATATAAACAAACAGGGAACTGTAAGTATCCCTAATTCTCTGAAAACCTCTCTACAAGAACTTCTAGGCCTTATCGTTAACATTGCTCTAATTGCTCTTTTCTGAGCCACAAAAACTCTTTTCATTGATGACGAAGAAGAGCCCCAGAAAATAACACCATATTTAAGTTGAACTTGACAGTAAGCACAATAAGCCATTTTCAGCACTTGCCTACTTACTATAGGCTGTAGTTTTCTAAGCACAAAGGTTGCAACACTCAACTTATTTATCACATCATCAGAGAAATGATGAACATGAAGCAGGTAGCAACTCTGCATGCTACCTGCTTTACTTTGATGTCATTCTTCGCTAATTCTTCGATCCTGGCATGTTTCTCCAAAACGTCGGTTTACTTTCAGCCGACTACACGGTGTTAAATCGCATATGTCAGAACCACCTCTGTTTGAATAAAAAATACTAAAATTTCTTGTTTATTTTCGTGTGTGCTCAAAACTACTCACGTAAATTTTTCTTATATAACGCAACTGCCGATGTTGGTTATTTATGGTAATCTGTATTTTTGCACTCACAGAAATATTGGATAAGCCATTTTCAGTCCAAGTACACGATAAATACCGTAGTGTGACCAGTGATAAATACTGACGGGGAATGAAGAATAAGAAGAGAGTATTTATCGTTGAATAGGGTTCAGTTATTGTTTTCGGTAACTGGGTGGCATGAACGGCATGAATGTATTTGTGAGAGTATGTTTTTGCTGCTGTTAAAAAATGACGTTTTGTTCACTTAAGGTGACGTAAAGGAATGAGAAGTTTGGCTGTACTTATTTTGCAAGAGTGTTATTAACTCGTGCGTTTGAGGCCTTGGATAGTACCGCTGCATGCACCTAAGTGACTGGGTATTTTTATGTAGACAGTATTTGTAATTCTACCATTATTGATTCTTAAAAATTAAGAAAGCGTCCAGTAATCCCAAACATTGCCCTCCTTAAAACCCAGTGGCACGTTAAAAGTAAATTGATGATCATGCACATACATACACATAACTGTATATCCATTACATGCGTATTATACATATACAGTGAAATCTATTAATTTAGCCACCTGTAACATTTGGCAGCAATATATAATGTGTAGGAACTATGCTACTGTCAGTACAACAAATATTTCAGTAATACATTTAGATCTTTATGTACTGCAACATGTTTCGGCCATGCATGACCGATCTAAATGTAATACTGAAATATTTGTTGTGTTGACGGTAGCATAGTTCCGACATATATTATCTGAGACACACAACAGGATGCAACCAATGAAAATAATTTGGCAGCAGTTTTACGATCTGGCAAAATCATATTTTATATATGACCAGCCCTTTAATTTGGTTGCAAGTCCATCTTTTCCATCACAGTTCAGTGCATATCTTAACTTGTCTCTGTTGGCCACACAGAGAAAACTACAAATTTTTGTCTCTTGTGCATACCTATGAGGTACCCTTTTTGCTCTTTGCAGTCAGTGGAATTCTCAAATAGGTACAGCTTACCCATCTGTTATTGATGTGGTGGCAGTGTCTGGAGTTTTCTTTTGACCCTTCACTCTTTGGCCTGTTTAATGACTATTAGACCTTACCCACCTGTCTCTATTAAGGGGGGACTTTTTGATTTTCTAAGGAAAGTCCACTCAATACTCACTTGTGTCAATGGTAATATCATGTAATTTTTCTGCAGATGTTTACACATATTGCCATGTGGTAGAACATTTCACCTATAACATGTAAAGTGCATCAATTGGTACTTTGTTGAGTATGGTCGTTGTAGCCAAATTACTCCAATTTGTGCATTCAGGCATTTAAACACTAAACTCTATCAGTCTATCAAATTTCAGTTTAGAAAGATTCCTGGTTTGCAGCCTGCCATAAAATCACAAATGGTTAAAGGATTTTCACTTTCTGTTATGGCCATGACAGAAATTGAAATGTCTGATAAATGGCTTCGTGTGGTGAGAAAGTCATGTGGTGGAGGGTGTAGTGTTCATATATATTCTTCTACAGTTCATTGAATGTTGAATGACTTTTGTGAGCAACTGACATACAATAAAACTGGGAAGCTCTCTTTTTATGATAAAGTAAATGACACTGTATGTTTTGTTTTTGAACTCATTTTTGTTTTTATTTCAGGGCTTGCAAATTGACACAAGATATAGTCTACAAGATATTGATATGATTCATATCCAGGAAAATGTGAACTTGAAAGGGTGCACACTGATATTTGTAAGATTCTTGTTTATTACTTTCTGTTAGTGTACCCATGATGAGAATTTTACAAACTCTTTTACTTTATGATGAGATAATCACTACAGCAGCCCATGTTTTGGCCCAGGTCAGGTCATGTATCATTTGTGATGGATGTTGTATAACTGAAATAGGCTTTCTTTGAGTACTTCGGTTTGCCCTGCAAATTCTCATTCCATCAGTGCTTGACATCGAGTAATCGGCCCATTATCTGATGCTGTGTAGTTTGAATACTGACAGTGTCATTAAATGACTGACTTAAAAAAATATCATAATATCTGCATCTTAAGCCCTTAAACTAGACATGTGAGACATCTGTAACTCAGAATGACAGATACACTCACAGTGTTTTTCGAGGCTCACACTTCCTGATTTTTATCTTTGTAGCATGTGGAATTTCCATCTTCACAAATGCTTGGATTTGCCACGCTTGGAAATTGTGATTGTAGTTGCTAATTATAGCGGTTATTTATGAATTAAATAAATATTTTGTTTTGAGACTGGAAAGGGAAGTCTG